CTCTCTCTGTCAAATAAATAAAATCTTTAAAAAAAACCAAAAAACCCCAAAACACACAAATGAGCAGTGGTATAGATAACCCAATCTCAACGTCACTTTGAAATGAATTATGAGAGATATAAACAAGCAAACATATAAATGTGTATCAAGGAACGATCAGCTATTTTATAAAGGATTCATAGCTAAAAAAATTCTTATTTTTTTAAAGATTTTATTTATTTATTTGACAGAGAAACAGCGAGAGAGGGAACACAAGCAGGGGGAGAGGGAGAGGGAGAAGCAGGCTTCCTGCGGAGCAGGGAGCCCGATGTGGGGTTCAATCCCAGGACACTGGGATCATGACCTGAGCCACCCACGCGCCCCATAGTTGGATTCTTTAAAAGAGTCCCCTGGTCAAACTAAAGTAACAATTTAAGAATTTACCAAAATATTGTTTCAGAATTTTAAAGAGCATATTTTCTGATTAAAGTTAAGTCAAAATGAGCAGTGAGTCTTTTTCAGCATTTTCTAAGGAATCATTATTTTTGGCCATAGACATTTAGAACTTCATCTGGAGAGACTTAAGAGGTGATCTGGTTTAGGTCTGGCACTCTTACAGACACCATAGCCTAATAAATCAGAGCAGACTGGTTGGGAGCTGCCCAGATTTGAGACCTGCTTTCACCACTTTCGAGATGGTGTTCTTGGGCAAATTATTTAAGGAGTCTGTGCCTTGATGCCCTCCTGTGGAAAATGAAGACAATAGCCTATCTCCTAGGGATGTAAATGTGGGTCAGATACGTCAATAACGAATATAAAGCTCAGAAAAGTGTGTGCATGTATTAAGTACTATGTAACTGTTGTTACCCTCCCCCCGCCCCCACAAACAGATCCAAAAGTTGCCACCTGTCCAAAGTTCACAGAGAGCTAAAGAGTAACTAGAGTTGGCTAAGACCAGAATTCCCAATTCTGGTTTCCTAGCTCAATTCTCTTGCCTTTTTCCCTAACGAAAATACAATGATTAAGTTATTCCCCTCTTACCAAGCCTTCAAAACCCACTTAAACCCTTCACAACAACTGAGGGTTCCCAGGAGTAGGCTAAGTTAATGACTGGCAGTCCATCACAGATTCATTTTCACCTACTTCTAATTATTGTTTTAAATAATTTCCCAAGAACAAGTGCTACCCATCACTTATGTCATAATCATGGCCTGTATAAAAATTGTTAGCTCTCTTCATAATGAAACTACTGTATTTTATCTCTTTCTTAATCCTTACATGACTCTTTGGAGTGAGATTTTACTTCAGACATGTGGAAAATACGGCTTATAAAGGTCTGGAAGGTGCTATGATAAATTGATAAAATATTTTATTTGTTCTCACCCAGCCAATTCTCAGTACAACAAAGCGAGCAAAATGGACTTAAACTGTCGGAGGAGAGGGATTTTCTTTCATTCGGCTTCGTACAAGGTAACAATGGAATACAGAGGAAAAGGCTGAAGCTCTATTTGAAATCGGGCAGGTACCGTGGGGCAACGCCACCTCCCTTCAGTAACCGAGTTTAGCACATTATTTCACGGGGCAGGTTGAGTCCAAGACAACGACTGAAAAGACAGGAGAGAGTGAGAGCGAACGGTGGTGAAGATGCCAGGAGAGCGAAACGAAGCCGACAATACAGGCCAAGGAAGAGAATAAACGCACAGAAAGACAGTGAGACGTGAGACGCAGGGCAGCAGGTGCGTGGCCGTGGACAGAGGCGGCAGGGGCGCGCGTCTGGAGGGCGAAGCAGGATGTACCGGGAGAGCGCCGGCGGGCCGCGGGGGGTCCCAGAGCAGTCCCACCGCGAGCGGGTGGGGCTCGCTCACCGCCGCCCGGGCTGGAGCCTGCAAAGCGGCTCCACAGCACCAGGGCCACCGCCCACCTCCGCCCGACCCCCCGCCGCCAGCCCGAGCCCACCCGGCCCCACTCACCCTCGACCACGGGTCCGAGTGTAAATGTCCGCACTTCCGGAGGGAGGGACGTGCTGCCGCAGAGCCAATGGGCACCGCAAAAGTGGCCGACAAAGGCGCGCCTGCGTCAGCCGGAGCACGCACAGGACGTAACGGTGACGCCCAAGCGGGGGCGCGGCCCGGCTTCCGGCGCAGCCACCGAGAGCTCAAACCCTGCAGATGGCGAGTAAGTGCAGGGCTTTCCTGTCCCGGAGGCTGGAGTAAAATCCAAGACATTGAGGAAAGATTAACGCCAGTGCCGGTGGTTCACCACCATTGGGAAGGTTACTGCACTTGCATGTGAGGGCGAGGATGTTCTCCATCCCCTGTGGCTCGACACGTCCGTCGGAAAGGGCCGGAAGTGCTTTTAAGCGTTTAAAATAAACGGCTATACCCCTTTACACCGACTAGGACAGCGGTAAGCCAACTGGAGAAACTGGAACCCTCACAGTTGGTATGACAGCTTTGCCTCTTGGTTAGAGACCCAAGAGAAATGAAAATGTTATGCAAAGTTAAAGCCAGTGACAAAGGGCCGTTTGCATGAAATGTCCAGGAAAGGCTTATCTACATAGACATCTACATAATGGTTGCTCAAAACTATAGGGTCTGGTAAGGAGTGACGGCAAACCACTGCCAAGGTTCCTCTTTAGGATAATGAAAATGTCCAAAAATTTGCCTGGCGATGGATGCATAATTGAATATAATAAAAACCACTGAACTGTAATTGGGTTAATCGTACAATGTGCTCAATCTCAAAGTGGTTGGAAAAAAATTCAGAAAAATGCCCATGCTCAAATTCCATTATGCAAAGCACCAAGAAATTCATGAACCAAAATTAATGGCAGAGGACAAATAATAATCTTTCTAGTTTAATCGGAAGAAAACTCATTTGATCCATTTTGCGAAGATACTTGAAATATGTTTAATAATAAAAGGCCACCAACGTTCTCTTTTTATTTTTATTTGCATTTATTCTGCAGAACTTACTCCCGGGCCATAAGTTTTTGTTTCTTCAGTTTCTTCTGGGATATCTGGGAAACAAAAATAAAAGGTCTGTTACAAGTTTCCTGGAGAAACTCACACTACATCTTGAATAGGTTATAGTTCTGGAAAAAATAGGAAACATCAATGTAAAAGGGAGTCCTCTGGCATAGAGAAATGGCATGGGGGGAGGGACAGATGTAAGGAAATTAGAGTAAGCTGGGAGTTTGTGAAGACTGGGGGCAGGCAGACCATGTGTAAGTGGCAACAAGAACAAAGACAACAGGGGCATCTGGGTGGCTATGTCGGTTAAGTGTCAAGTGTCCCATTCTTAGTTTTGGCTCATGATCTCAGGATCATGAGATTGAGCCTGGAGTGGGGCGCTGTGCTTGAGATTCTCTCCTTCTGCCCCTCTCCCCCGCTCTCACTCTAATATAAAATCTTAAAAAAAAAAAAAGAATGGAAGACAATGTATTTAAGCAACAAAATCAATAGAAGTTAAATTCATGAGGCACAAAGGGAAGGAGTCCAGAATCAGTCCCAGGTTCCCAGCTTAAAGAACTGAATGGGATTCAGTTACTGAAAACAAGCTTATTTGGAGAGGTGGGGAGAGGGGAAGGGCCCATTTTTCGCACATGTTGCACTTAAAGTGGCTATGGACATATAGGTGGGGCCATCAGCAGATAATTATAATTCTGATATAACAAAATATTAAAAAGCCAGATAATTATATAGTTCTGATATAACGAAATATGTAAAAACAAACAAACAAATAAAACTGACCAATGAAAGTAGTTTACCTTTTTCTTCTGTGCAACCTCCTCTTCTGGTTTAGGAACAATCTGCTCTTTTTCAGTAAGGATCATCTCAATGTGGCAAGGAGAGCTCATGTATGGGTTAATCCGACCATGAGCCCTGTACGTTCTACGCCGCATCTTGGGGGCTTTGTTCACCTGGATGTGCTCAATGACCAGAGAATCAACATCTAAACCCTGGAAAGAGGGAGAACAAAATCAAATCAACATCTTTATCTCAACACCACAAACCCTATCATTATATCAAGTCCTCACCTTTACAAGGCAATTCTAAGACTCTACATAGCATATCTGTTCAAACAGCTGGTTGCTTTTACCTTTATTCTAAGCATCTTTCCTTAAACCTAAGTAACTACCAAAACTCAATGCTATATGCAGTTTGTAAGTGGCCTCCCTAGAAGTCATTGAGGAGAGTGGATCTGGTAGTGTCAATTTCTAAGCACTGATGAAAAACAAGATTTTGGCAGCGCAGTTTAGCAGCTAGAAGGGTTATAGCCAGACCTACATTAACTCCAGTTCTGGCCTAGATTTCCAAATACAAAGGGTAATGGATAATGCACAAAACAGACACTGCTTTGTTGACTATATTCATTGTTTTAAAAATCTCACATTTAACCTGTCTCTCCATTATGCACACAGGCAACAAACCACATTAACCATTACTAAGGCAATCATTTTGGGAACCTCTTCTTGTTCCTTTGTAATACAAGGTTTCTACTGCTTGCATTTACAAGTATTTTTTGAAGTTCACAAGTCATACTACCAAAAATGTCTATGATACCAGAAAGGTTATAAACCCTTGAGTAAAATACATGAGAGAAAATGGTGGTTTTTTGCTAGGACTGGGTTTATAAGGGAAAACAGACTTAAGACCATGCTTTTGAACATCTTCACAGACAAAAATTTTGGTCTTCCGGAAATTGGAGGTGGAGATGAAAAAAAAAATGTGAAATTTACTGAGAAGCCAAGACAAAGAAACAAATCTGGACAACAGCAACAGTAATTGAACCACCATCCAAGTCGTATACATATAAAGATGTTAATGGTTTGGGTACCTTAAGTTCAGCATTACTCTCTGCATTTTTAAGCATGTGCAGTAAAAATTCAGCACTCTTCTTGGGCCACCGACCCTGTGTCCAGCCCCACTGCTTGGCCTGAAAGAAATCCAAGAGAGGTGATTAGTCATTTCCCCTGATTTAAATCAGTGTTACAATCAAGATGAATTTATTTTATGAAGGTTGCTCAGAACACAGTTTTTTTTCATGGTTAATCCAAAGGTGTCCTAAGTTGGTCATCACAGCAACCAGAAAGAACCCGATTAAAGGCAGATCCTAACCATTGTTACCCCACCCAATCACTTTCTGTTACAACGTCCTTTCAGGTAGCAACTAAGAGCTCTCACCTGGGCACACCTACCAACTCCACCATTGTAGCGACGGAATGGCACACACTGCTTCTGTAAAGTGACGTCTTTCAGATACTTGGTGGCTTTTCGGATATGCATACCCTTGATGGCCTGGGCAGTTTCACGTGTGTTCTAAGTATAGACAATAAAAACTGAGTTAACCTTGTTAGAGGATAACAATTCTTCAAGTAAACATTCAATTCTTTTTTTTTTTTCAAAATGTCAACATTAAATTAAAGACTTCCCATTCTTGAAAGGTGAGGCAATGTAGAGAGAAAAAAAAAAACCTGTGCTTAAAAACCAGGGAGAATTGGCTTAAAGTTAGGGAGAAACAAATTCCAAACCCCTATTAACTGTAATGTTTTAATCCCATCACCTTGTAACTATGTACGTCCCATTCTCTTCTCTACACTAGTTTAAGTAGTTCTCCTTAGTTTTACCCAATTCCATGAATCTTAAAGTGCTCATTGTATGATTGATGGTTACAGAATCAGTATCTTGAAGGTGACCGCTCAGAACTGATTAATTTTCATGGTAAATCCAAAGGTGTCCTAAGAAACACATCACTGCAGTCACCTTTTCAGAATGGGGGGGGGCGGGGGGCGGGAAATTCACCGGAACACGTGACACAACTCTTAGAACGTGAACGTTGGTTCCCATACCTTAAAGTGAACACGAAGATTTGAACCTCTTGATTTACATGCTAAGAAACAAGAAGTTTGGGTTAATTTGGGGGTATCTCATTGTTCCTTTTACCCCCCAAAATAAGGAATATATTGTTCACTTACATTTCGTAGGGTTTTCTGGGTCAAGCGAATAGCGAACCATTTTCAGAGGTCACCTGGAAGGGAGCGGGAAGGAATTCTGTCGACACGAATTTACGGTCACCGACGCAGTTTAAGTGTGTGTTAACTACTACCAACAGCCGCTCAGAAAGTACTTGTTTTCATGGTTAATCCAAAGGTGTCCTAAGAAATGCCATCATCGCGGCCACCCTCTTCTCCAGTGCTTTCTGCCCCTGCATCCACTAGGGCCTGCGGCAGCGCTGACACAGACTAGTGCCACGGACCTCAGCAGCCCTCCCCCTCTGAAGGAAAATACAGTTTCAATCCCCCTCTGGATCCCTCAGGAGTAAAAGGATTCGACGCCTCGACGCGGCAGGACGCTTCTCTCTGGAGAACGCGCTGCCGTCTCCCCAGTACTTCTGGGCTATTAGTTAAGCGCCATCGAACTTCAAACACTCGTTCAAACGGATGAAGGCTCAACCCGACTTTACTTTTATTCCCCCAAAACGTTCTCTCGTTGCAGCCACACACGCGCCGCGTACTCAGCCGGCACTCACCCAAAGACACTGGCCCTGAGTCGGAAACGGCACTGACCACAGACCGCCCGTACCCCTCGCCACCCCCATTCCCGCCCATCGCGGCCTTCTGCTCCGACACGTCCCCCTGCACCGAGGGACATCCCCTTCAGCGAAGAATCGATAGCCGCAGAAGCCTTCCTCCCGGGGACATGGACATCAGCGCCACCGAAACCAGGATGGTGGCGATGACCGGAGGATTCAGTAGCCGCGGAGACATGGCAAACAATCACTCACCTCAGGCCGCTTAGGGGAAGAGGAAGAGCAGAGGCTCCTGGGAGAATTCATGAGAACTCGATCTCTCGCGAGATTTCCAGCCGAGCGAGCAAGCGAGCAAGTGATTTGAAGGAAGGCGGAGCTCTAGGAGAAAGGGAGTGTGGAATATGTTTTAGAAGGTCTGGAAACGAATTGCCCTTTTAGGGAATATCTCAAAATTCTCCTTTTTTTGGTATCCAGAAATAAAGTTATAGATTTTAAATTTCAATCAATTAAAAAGAGGCTTATAGTTCTAGGATAGGATCACGTATTATTAGATATAGACGAGACGTTTATTCGCCAACATTTGTTAGATTTGATTATGTGATCATGTACCCCTAAAAGTGGTTAGTAAATGGACAATTAAGAAGATGCAAAGGATGGGATGGTAATTACGATAATCAGAAAATTCTCAGGAGGGGAATATCACCCAGTCAGGTGTACTACAATGGTTGAAGAATGACACTTCTAGATCTTCTCCTGGTGCAGAAAAACTCTTGGCCGCTATCTTTCCTTTCTTCTCACCCAAGTCATCTATCTGGTTATTCCCTCACAGCCATTGGTGGTCTTAGCACTTAGCTTTGGGTCTTCTATTTCAAGGCGCCATCACTCCAGGCAAATTCAAATTCTAAGTGAAAAAACTCTGGACAATGGCTCTAAGCACTCTTGGTTCCTTGACCAGGATTCCAGAGACCTCAGTCCCAGATCCCTCTCCTGGACTCCACTCCCATTGCCAGGTAGAGGTTGGATTCCATGGTCTTTCCTCAGTAGCTCCCATCCCTCACGTGGCTTCAACCGCAAGCTGAGAACACCCAACTCCACATCTCTCATCCACTCCACATCTCTTGCTTGAGCTCGTCCCAGACAGACATCAAATTACTCCGCAGTTTAAGTTCTTACCTTTGGGTTGAATTAATTTTTGTAACTCAATTTTGTTTGACATAAGGGTCTAAATTAACTTTTTGCATATGGATAGTCAATTTTTCTGGCACCATTTGTTAAAAACACTGTCTTTTTTTATTGAATTGCTGTCGCACTTTTATTGAAAATCAGTTGACCAGAAAGGGGAGGATTTATTTCTGGACTTTCAATTATGTTCTGTCGATCTATTTGATTATCTTTGCATCAACATCTCACTGTCCTGAAACTTTACAGTGAAATTTGAAATCAGCTAGTATATGTTTTCCGAAATTGTTTTGTCTCTTCTGGGTCCTCTATATTTCCATATAAATTTTAGGACCAGCTTGTTAATTTCTCAGAAAGCCTGCTGGGATTTTGATAGGGTTAGCATTGAATCTATAGATCAGTTTGAAGAAAATTGCCATTGAAGAATTTTAAGTCTTATATCTGCGAACAACAAAAAAAATCTGTTTAAATCTTTTATCATTTCTCTTAGCAATGTTCTGTAGTTTTCAGAGTACAAGTTTCGTTCTTTAATTTTTTTATGCTATTGTGAGTGACATTTTTTTTTAAAAGATTTATTTATTTGAGAGAGAGAGTGCACGGATGTGGGCACACAGGCACCAGCGTGAAGCGGGGAAGGGCAGAGGGAGAGGGAGAGAAGCAGACTCCCTGCTGAGCGTGGAGCCCGCTGTCTGGGACGGGGCGGGAGGGGGGTGCAGAGCGGGGAGGCGAGGGGGCTGGATCTCATGAACCTGAGATTATGACCTGAGCCAAAACCAGGAGTCGGATGCTTGACTGACTGAGCCACCCAGGCACCCTGAGTGACATTATTTTTTAATTTCATTTTTGGATTGTTCATCACTAGTATGTAAAAATAGAACTGATTTCTACATTTTCAACTTGTTTCCTTCACCCTGCTATATTCCTTAGGACTCCTTCCTTTCTCCTTCCTTCCTTCCTCACCCCCCTTTTTATTTGCCTTCTTAGAGGGGGCCAGAATGTCCTGCACAATAATAAATAGAAGTAATGAAGATGGACACCACCGTCTTTTTCCCAGTCCTATGGAAAAAAATCTTCTGTCTTTCACCAGTAAATATGATATTACCAATAGTTTTCTCATAGACCTTTATCAGGTTGTGGAAGTATTTTTTTCATGAGTGGGTGTTGAATTTTGTCATGTGTTTTTTCTGCATCTGTTGAGTTGATCATGTGGTTTTTGTCCTTTATTCTGTTAGTGTGGTGTACTATGTTAATTGATTTTTAATTGTTAACTAACCTTGCATGCCTGGGATAAACCCTGCTTGGCTGTGGCATATAATCCTTTTCCAGTTTTACTGGATATTCTGCTTACAGGGATACTGTAGTTTTTTTGTGATGTCTCTGGCTTTGGTATTAGGGTAATGTTGGTTTTACAGAATGAGTCAGGAAATCTTTCCTCCTCTGTTTTATGAAAAAGTGTGTGAAGGATTGGTATTATTTCTTCTTTACATATTTCATAAAATCTACTATGTGGGATATTTTAAATTTTTGAGAGAAACAACAATACTTGATATGGGTCAGTCATCATGCAAATGACTTGCTAGAGTTAGTTCATAATTTCAACATTAGATATTTACTACATTCCTTTTGATACCATTATATCTTTGCAAGGGTGGGGTTTCTGTGGTTGCTTTGATGAAAAGAAAGCAGTCTGTAAAAATCATCATGGAACAGGAAATGAAGATGGTAGTGTCCAATAAGATCCCAAGGTCTGCAAACTTGTACATAAGATGCACAAATCTCAGTAAGAAATTGTTATTTAGGAAGTAAATGAATTGTTATTTAAGAATAAAATAAGCTTAAGAAATAAATACGATCTTTGTCTTCATTTTGTGCATGTTATTTTTTTCAAATGGCCACTAAGGATATATTTACAATATTAATAGATTTAATACATAGTATTTATAATAGGATTACATATTTATTGACTTTTGGGAACTAACTAGGAAATGGAACTGTTGGGTATTTCTTTTGTCCTATAAATACTGAAAAATTAGTGAGATACTAAAGGTGCTGTGAACCCAGAAAGTTTGGGAGCCTCTGCAAGAGTGTGGATAGAGAAGAATACAAGGTCTATGGTTGAGAACGCATGCTCTACCATGCAGATGTCAAGGAAGGGGCACAGACCAGCAAAAAAGGACTCAGAAAGAGCAATGGGGGGAGAGGGAGACCAGAAAAGTTGGTATTACAGAGGCCATGAGAAGCTCCTTTCAATGCTGTGATGTTAGGTAGGATGACGACAAGAAAGTAACCACCAGAAAGGGAGGTCAGTGGTGGTCTTTGCAAGAGAACTCTTTGTGGAGCAGTGGAATTGAACGCCAGATTGGAGCCAGAGGAGACA